ACTTTGACATTTGATTTTGTATAATTATTGATTGTAGATTGGTATTATCTGCCTAAAGTAATGATTTAGTACGCCATCAATGGCAAAACATGTAGACTCTGTACTAACCAAAAAACACCTTCATTGTAATTACTCATGTTTTACTAAATAAATATATCTTTATCTTTATCTTTATCTTATTGTCAAGAGCGCTTGCTCGTTTGATTGCGCGTACGAAGTTGCGGGTAAAAGCTAATGTATATGAATCAATTCATTAAGATTTCGTGGAATCGATTTAATCGATAATAGTGTATTTTTTTTCTGAAACGCAAGCCGCCAACAAGGTTTTGTTGGCGGCTTGCGTTTGATTGACAATGACTGACAGATGTACTTGTTTGTTCACTTTCATTCTGAGTGCGCACGTATTTTCCTTATTTTAATGTTTAAACCCACGACCTCGGCTTTGCATATTATAACGGACTATTCGACGGATCTTGCTACTCTGAATTACCTGACTCTCTATTTTGGGCAACTGTAACACCTATCGATTGGATATCGACGACATAGATCGCTGTATAAATTGTACGATTGCGATTGGTTGCAGTAATCCTATTGGGAGAAAAGTCTTGGAGAATGAGGCGATTTTAACAGTTATTCGTCAGTGGCGAAGTGAGTGATTCAAAAGTATTTCAGAAATTACACAAAAAAATCACTATGTTATACTATAACCTAACTTTTACTATAATTCAGATAACTTGGTTTCTAGGAAGCCAAATTTCACCAAATTCTCAGTTAAGCCTTGATATTATATCCTCTTACATATTATTATAAGTCTAATTTCATTTAGTTAATACCTGGGCCCAGGAATCTATGGAGCCATTCCCTTCTCCTTTCGTACTCTCTAGTTGCAATACTAGCGCCCATTGCATTCTTATTGCGTGAATATTTAATGAACTAAATGGTATTGTGTTTGGCTTTATATTCCGTACTCTGAATGCTATTTTGACAGCTACGATAGGGGTTGTATAGTTTTGACATTGAATAATTTTATTATTGATATTTTATTGGATTGAAATTGCATTGACATTGAGATTGGTTTAAGAGTACCCTGTTCAATGGTAAAAATGAAAATGTTATTAAAATTATTTACAACTTTTGTGTTTTCAACTATCGACCCTGGTCTATTGTGTTCGTGTCATCCAGGAGAAATCGATATATCCAATGAGCCCAAACTCGATATGTTTACTAGTAGCTCAAGGTTCCATCAGCCACCTTCCAATTCCACCATCAAACCAGCTCGACGGCACCATAATATTGTATTGTCATCTAATCTACATACAACTGCCGAGTTTCACGACGATACAACAATTACAAGTGTGTGTAATTCAGATTCTTAGATTCTGTTACATAGTTCGGTACGGTCGACTTAATTTAAATGTATAAAATTGTACATACGCCGTTATATTCTTAGCTTCTTCCAGACAGCAAATAATAGGTATTTTTGACGTCCCGTTGAATGAACAAATCTGAAAACAATTTTCGTATAAATTAATAACAAATACCACAACATCATTAGGAGATTATCATCATTAGACGTCGCGGCAGGCCCAAAAGAAGATGACGGGAGCAATTGGACATATATGACAAGTATTGGTCGCTAAAAGCTTAAATAGAGAGGAGTGGAAGAAGGGTAGGGAGGCCTTTGCCCTGCAGTGGGACGATCATGGCTGAACATTGTATCAACATCAGTCTATAAGTACCCATTGCTGACCAAAGGCCTCTTCTTACATGGATGTTTGAGCATTAACTCGTTGAGTACCGTCATTATAGACACAATTAAAGAACAATAGGTTGCGGTCACCGGTGTCCTCGCGTTGTTTGACAGTTTAATCACCACGCATGCTCAATGTGGGTTGGCGATTTGAAACTTATAGTTAGTAATTGTAAGCCCAGGTTTCCTCACGATGTTTTCCTTCACCGTTTGTCAGTGGTGTCTAAATAATCTTAGAAAGTACATATAACTCGGAAAAAGTCAAATTGGTTTTTTAATGGGATAAGCCGGTAAACGAGCAGACGGATCACCTGATGGTAAGCAATTGTTGTGGCCTATGTGAACCTGGAACACCAGAAGCGTTACAAGTGCGTTACCGGCCTTTTGGCGATTAGGAGTTTGAGGATATTTGGGCTTCAAGGGTTAGGGAGATTGGGCCTCCAGTAACCTCACTCACACGATGAAACACAACGCAAGCGTTGTTCCACATCAGTTTTCTGCTCGGCCGTGGTATAACTCCGGTCGAGCCGGCCCATTCATGCCGAAGCATGGCTCTCCCACACTTACAACGGTTTCGGTCAGATCTCGGTTTTCAATCTTCTTTTTATAGAATAGGAGGCAAACGACCACACGAATTACCTGATGGTAAGCGATCAGAGCCACCCATGGACACCCGCAACACCAGAGGAGCCACAGGTGCATTGCCGGCCTTTCCAAAAAGGAGTACGCTCTTTTCTTGAAGGTTTCAAGGTCGTATCGGTTCGGAAATACCGCCGACAACAGATCATTCCACAGAGTTGCTGTGCGAGGCAGAAACCTATGTGAGAAGCGCACAGTTGTGGCCTGCCAACCATCTATATGATGGGGATGCATATACTGTCGTGACGGTCGATGGCAAAAAGATGCGGCAGGTCTAACAATTCCTCAGAGCACTCCCCGTGGTATAAGCGCATCTCTACGCATTGCCAAAGTGTCTAGCTAATGTTAGTCTTATTTAAGTTATGCAAATTATTACTATAACATTTTGTTTAATTCAGTTGTTACTTACGTGAGGATGTATGTTAAATTTCAAATCTCTGATCGCAGTCGGACAGTCCTCCATATTGACACATCTTCCTTTCTGGCCATTGTCTGTATGTGTGCATTCTGTAACATAAATATATTTTATAGTCATATCTAGTGTCCAATATATTATCTTATACATATTATACAGAATGTTTGGTGCATCGCGTGGCATGTTAGCCTGTCAGGACCCTTAACACCGGCGGGAATGATCTCTGGGAATGCCGACGGCAGTGCGAGCTATGGTTGACAGTGAGTGTGCATGGGTTTTTTTTAAGCGGGAAAATCATCAAATGCCTGTTTCTGCCTGGGTGAGGCGGGAGGGAGTGCCAGACTCTTACTAACTAAAAACCACCCCGTTCCTACTCCTGCACTTCGAGTCGGAGCCCCGGTAATCCGTTAGGTTCACCGCGACTCCGTATCGGCATCAGCACTATTGGCCATCCGTGGTGGTCTGATGGCTCTTTGAGGCGCGCGCGGAACTGGTCGGGTCTGTTTCTGGTCAAGTGAAACGAGTGAATTTATTTCTGCAAATAGGCTACAATACACGTCAATTTTATCAAGCAAACGATGAGGTCGATAAACGACGAACGGACGGACGGGCGACGAACTACCCATGCTCGCCGTCCGCAGGCCCGCGCTTACGCCCGGAATGTCCTTCGCGACGGCTGGGCTGTGAGGAGACAGCGCTTCGCTGCCTCATGCGCCCCGCCTCCTCCTTAGCTAGCATGACTGCTTCGCAAAAGGAGAAGACGTCATCCCAGTCCCCCTCGCTCCGCTTCATGGCCCGCACTAGGGCCGGACGCGAGAGGCGCCGTCTCCGAACATGCATGTATACAATGAAAATATCCTCTGTAATAAATTTACTCAACCAAAATACCAAATAACAGGTCCAAATTAAAATATAAACAAAAAAAACTTACCTTGCGACTTCACCGCAACACAAAAACAAAATAAAAACAATACTACAAACATTATTAAACAGAATAATTACAAAATTATTATTTTATAACTTCAAATAGTTATGTCTACACACATGTTGGTGTCACGACATTGTGGCCACGACTGGTTGAATATAAACTTGTTTACAACAGAATAGTGCCAAGTAAGATCATATTTGTGTAAGGGTTCCGTGTATGGCGAGCTTGCAGGTAATCGTACCTCCGTGGTTTGAAGCAGGAGTAGGAACAGGGTGATTTTTGGTCAGTAAGAGTCTGACACTCTCTCTCGCCTCACGAAATACGAAGTAATTGGATGTTTTTCCCCTTTCAAAAAAAGGGTTTCCATAATACTCAAAGTCGCCCAGCGCACGATGGAGAGAGTTATGGTCGGGATTTCTTGCGCGACAAAATCCGAAATATGAAAATTCGCCAAAGAACTAGAGTTTCCGACATAGCTCGCAAAATCTTCAGACTGCAGTGGCAATGGGCAGGCCACGTCGTTCGACGGACTGACGGCAGATAGGCCAGGAAAGTCCTTGATTAGAGACAGCGGACCGGAAGACGAAGCGTGGGCAGGTCTCCCGCTAGGTGGACCGATGACATGCAAGTGTCGAGTTGTGGTTCGACGTGGAGGACCAACGGGGAGGCCAGCAGTGGACGGCTTTTGGTTATTGATGACGATGATGACACCCGGTACAAACCATGGCCAGATTTTTTCTAAAAAAAGGGCGCTATTCATTTTTAATAATGTGGGTTCCAACTTCCGATTCCATCATCAAACCAGCTCGACGGCACCATAATATTGTATTGTCGTCTAATCTACATACAACTGCCGAGTTTCACGACGATACAACAGTTACAAGTGTGTGTAATTCAGACTCTTTGATTTTATTACATAGTTCGGTACAGGTCGACCTAATAAAAATGAGTAAAACATTACACACAAGTTTGAACCCACAGATCTCTATAACGTTAAGGAAAATATCATCCTTTATAAACTAGTATTTCCTGTTACATTTTTTTATGGCATAAGCCGGTAAAGGAGCAGACGGATCACCTGATTGTAAGCAATCGGCGTCGCCCATTGACACCTGGAACACCATAGGCGTTGCAAGTGCGTTACCGGCCTTTTGGGGGTTAGGAATTTGAAGATGTTCGGGCTTCAAGGGTTGGAGAGATTGGGCCTCCAGTAACCTCACTCACACGATTAGGAGTTTGAGGATCATTGGGGATTCAGGAATTGGCGAGATTGGGGAAGTGGAGGGTTTTTTTAAGGGGGGAAAATCATCAAATGACTTCTCCCACCTGGGTGAGGCGGGAGGGAGTGTCAGACTCTTAGTGACTAAAACCACCCTGTTCCTTCTCCTGCACGTCGAGCCGGAGCCCCGGTAACCCATTAGGTTCTCCGAAACTTCGAATCGGCATCAGCCCTGTTGGGATATTATGGGATATTCGCGCGGAAAGCGACGCGCCGTACGCTCAAGTCTGTTTCTGGTCGGACGGGGAGCCACCCATGCTCGCCGTCCCGCGCCTACGATGTCCGGAGATCGTCCCACGATCCCTGACGCCCGATCCCTGTGTCCTTCGCGATGGCTGGGTTGCGAAGAGGCAGCGCTTCGCTGCCTCACGCGTCCCGCCTCCTCCTTAGCATGACTGCTTCGCAAAAAGAGGAGACGGCATCCCAGTCACCCTCGCTCCACATCACGGCCTGCACTAGGCCCGGACGCGAGAGGTCGCCATCGCCGATCACTTCCCTGAGGGCAGTGCTTAGCCCACGCAGAGCATTCCGCTACAGTGTGTTCCACCGTGACCTCAGGGCGGTCCTCGCAGTGATGACACCCGGGCGTTTCCTCCCGCCCCATCAGACACAGGTACCTCCCGAAACTTCCATGTCCGGTGAGGACCTGCCGCCTGACAGGCGGTAGGTGAGGACGCCGTAGCGTCTCTCAAGCCACTCCTCAAAGAGGGGACTTACCGCTGCAAAGGCGAGCCCATGCACATTGGTGTAGGTTGACATGCAAGCGATTACACTGACTGCATATCAGCTGATGACTTATAATTCGTTTATCTTCAACGATAGGTACATTAAAATGTGGAACTGACATAAAAGTGACGTAGTAAAGTAAAAATTAAAATAATGTTATATAACATCACGCCTTTTATCCACTGTCCACCGTAACACCCACTTTTCACTTTTTATGTTATGAGTCCCATGTAATAGGGGGTGAGGCTATTACCATATACCGGGCAGAATTACAAACTTCGTGCTAATACTAAGATTTTTTTTTAACACAGTAAACTTTACCCGGTGCGGAAATCGAACCCGAGACCCGTCGCCCGGCAGTCACAGTTGCGACCACTCGTATCGAACACAAGGTTGCAAGCCTTTCGGTTTTCTACCGGATACATTTCAGTGAGTATGCGGGAATTGCCCAACTTGATTCCCCCTAACCCTTTCCATCATCGTACCACAAGACAATCGGCGAAGCGTCACCGATTCATGGTAGATGTCCCACCCACACGCACGAAGCGCTTCTCAAGCTCCCTTGTGCGTACTGCTAAGGAGTGGAACTCTTTGTACGAGTCTGTAATTCCTGAAGGGTTCCTGAACTTGACAACAGGCTATAAGGAGAGGCGAGTGGAAGGAACGTGGGGAGGCCTTTGCTCTGCAGTGGGACGACCATGGCTAAGAATAAACATCTTGCCAAAACCGCTGCAACTCCTGTGCACCAGGATCTATAGTAGATACAACCATGAAAACACCGGAACACTGAAGTCCGGCGCGTCTCAGGGACATGAATAACTGTCTTGGTTCCCGCAACGAAATAATCATATCATCATCACAACATCACGTCTTTTATCCAGAGGTGAGGGAGGCAGAGGTGCACATTACGGCACGTAATGCCACTGTATAATGTAACACCCACTTTTCACTATTTATAATATGTAATAGGGGGTGAGCCTATTGCCATATACCGGGCACAATTCCAGACTCCGTGCTACTGTGTTACAGTAATACATTGCACGACCCGGGAATCGAACCCGAGACCCCTTACCTGGCAGTCACACTTACGAACACTCGGCCAACGAGGCACTATCTATACATATAATAAAATTGTAGAAAAGTGCTGTCTGTACATTGAAAATAAAAATAAAAAAAATAGCAGGGGCTATTGTTATGTCGATGTTGAACCCAAAAATGTAACTAACTTTTTTTT